AAAAAAAATTCATATTCAAAAGAAATTATAATTGAAATCGACTTTAGGATGGGAGAGAAAAATCGAATTTTAAGTAACAGAAAAAAGTCGATACACACCAATTTTTAGAGACATTAAAGTGAATCTAATCTCTCGCCTTTTTAAAGTAGTAATAATGAATTAGATAGTCCGTTGGCAAAACTACACATAAAAAAATACTTCGAAATCGACTTTATATTGGAAATTTAGAAATCGAAAATCGACTTTTATCTCTCTGGACAAAGTAGATAGACCGGATAGTCAACATTTTTGTTTGAACTCAAATAACCAAGAATTAAAAAAAACGTCTTTTCCTCTTGACCACTTATCACTCATTGATATGGGTATTCCAAAGTCACTAAAAAAATTTGGCATTTAAACCCCTGATTTTTTTATCTTTGCATAATTTTGTCCCCCACTGTAATTAATTATTTTTCGGTAATATACCAAGAAGACCAGCATAATTAAATAGTATCATCATTCCAGCCAACTGATTGATGGTTGTGGTCGGTGGTTCCTAGAAACCTTAAAACGGTTATCTTTTTGGAAAAATAAACAAATATTTTTTGGGCATTTGTTATCGCAATAAATTGTTGTTGTTGTTGATGGTTAATGCCTTGTTATTGTCCGTCCATGCTAATTAATTTTAAGAGTTCCTTAGGAATTTCACTAAATTCTTTGTTAAAAACTCCACGGTGATGTCATTGCGAAAAGCCCTCGGTCTTTGTTTTTTTTGTAAATTTTTTTTTTTTGAAAAATCCCAAAGACAAATGTTGGGATTCCAAAATATTTCTTTTTTTTCCTTTGTCGAATGTTTGTTTTCTTTTTTTTCTTTTTCAAATATTTTTTTCTTTTCTTTTGAAGGACTTCTGACTGTCCCTGAAAATCGTTGGCAGTGACAACAGAAACTCCCCCATCTTGGGCCATGACCAAAATACCAGTAGCAGCAGCAGCGGCGAAGGCAGAGGCGTTATTTGGGTAGGACATTCAAGCCATACATTGGATATTTTCATGTTTTTGTTGCTGTTGTTGTTTCTGTCATTAGGACTCCAAGGAGAAAGGTTGGTCCGTTAACAAAGACATTATTATTTGACTAAAGTGTTGTCGGAGTAACACAACAACAACAATGGCAATAGCAACAACTTATTGTCTTTGCCATTGCCTGCCTGCTTGCCTGCCTGACTGTTTTTTCTAAGGAGGTTCCTTACTTTCAAGGATAAACGGCCACCCAGAAATACAAAACTTATTTACCCAGCTCTAGTGGGGGCAGAATTTCGTAGAAAAGATTTCGCCTTTGAAAATTAAAGGATATTTGGGCGTGTGTTTGCCTTTCTTCTTTCGTTCAATCGTATTCACTCAAGGTCATTACTAATGTTTGTTCTGCAATGTCTCTATTCGGTTTATTTATGACTTCGCCAGTGCGTCGTAAAAGGAGAAGAAAGCAAATCAATTTGCTTCAACTTTTTTTCTGCTGCTTTACTTTGAACTTGAAATTCTGTATTTTTTCGGAGTTTTACTCTTTTTTCCCGAACTTCTGTGCAAGACACTTTATTAGGCTTATTAGGGTCATAAAACAAGAGGAGAATTTCCTTTCAAGGCCATGCTTAATATTGGCCATAAAGAAAATATGGCAATAAAATTGGGGTACATTTTTTATATGGTGGGGAGTCTGTATTTTTCTCTACGGATCCTGCATGACTAGTTTTATTGTAGGCCATCAAAATATAAACATATCAGAATGGATAATAAAGTACTGGCATTAATAATGGAATATGTTTAATAATTTCCATGCATGCATGTGATGCATACTTTTAGGCGTTGTGAATAATAACAGCTGTTTAATGTCCAAATTTGATAGGAATCCGATGCTTTGTGGTAGAAGGCGAAAAAAATTAAATATAGAAGATATTCTAAAGGCCCTCTAGGGATCGAAAAACACAGAAGACCATAAAATTCACTCAAAACATAGAATACCCCTGAAATTCTTTAAAACATAGAACATCTTCCAAAGTTATTTTATGCGTGGAATTGTTGGCAATAAGTAGAATATATGTAAAATGCCATTTAAAAAAAGATTTTTTTTTTTGACCTCTTCTGACTATAAAAAATCGCCAAAACATAGAAAACCTTCTAAAAAATTTCAAAACATAGAAATAATGGACATCTTTGGGTCTTCCAAACCCAGAAGACCTTAGAAAAGTATTTTGAACAAAGGAGACCTCCGCAAATCATCGACATATTGAAGAACATCCAAAAGTTTATGAAACATAGAATACCTTTCAAGGGTCTGTAAAACATAGAAAACCTAACAAAGGCCTTTTAAACATAGAATAATTTTAGACAATCAAAAAGGAGTATTTTAAACATAGAAGAACTTTCAAATAAAAAATCTTCTGTAGCTCCCTTAAACATAGAAAATATATTGAAATAATTTGTAAACATAGAAAACCTTGCAAAGTTTTCTAAACACATAAAATATTTTTCCCAGCCTCCTAAACATTAGAATTATTCAAAAAATAAAAAAAATCTATAGCTCTCTTAAACATAGAAAATATATTGAAAAAAATCTATAAACATAGAATACCTTCCAAAGTTTCCTAAACACATGGAATATTTTTTAACAGCCCCACAAAACATGAGAATTGGAGAAATTCCATATCCCATCAAAACATAGAAGACCGTTCAAAAGTCTTTTAAACCTAGAAGACATTCGTAAGGGTTTTTTGAACAAAAAATATGTGAACCTTCAAAATATAGAATAGCTTCCGAAGGTCTTCAAATTTTCTTCTAAACTTCGAAGGGCCTATTAAATATGGAATATGTCCACAAGGTTTTCAAAACATAGAATAGCTTCCGAAGGTCCAATATTGTGAATGTTTTGTAAACATAGAAAAACTTCGTAAGGATTTCACAACGGAGCATATTTTTCATAGGTCTTCAATAGTTTCCTAGATCGTCTAAACATAGAATATATCCGAAAAGTCTTTTTAACATAGAATAGCTTCGAAAGGTGCTCTAAACATGGAATACTATCTCAAGGACTTCAAAATATAGAAGACCTAGCATAGCTCTTCTAAACATAGAATAACTCACAACAAAGAATAGCTTAGAAAGGTCTTCAAAAAACCTTTCATAGCTCTTCTAGACAAAGAATACTTTACGAATGTCTGCAAAACATAGAATAACTTCAAAACGTTATCTAAACATGAAATGTCTTCAAACTGTTTTCTAAACACAGAAGACCTTCTAAATGTTTTCAAAACATAGAATACCTTATATAGAACTTTTAAACATAGAATATCTCCCAAAGTTCTCCATTCTCATAGAATAACACCGAAATGCATTCAAAATGTATTTTAAACGCAGAAGACCTGCATAGGGACTTCAAAACATAGAATATCTTCCCTAGAAATCCTAAACTCAGAATATCACCCAAAAGTCTTCAAAACATAGAATAGCTTCCGAAGGTCTTTAAAGCATGCAAGGTCTTCAAAATGTCTTAAAAACATAGAAGATCTTCCATAACTCCTCAAAACATAGAAAAAATTAGAAAGGTCTTGAAAACGTGAAAGGTCTTCAAAATGTCATCTAAACATCGGAAGGCCTCGTAAGGACTTTAAAACATAGAATATATTTCATACGTCTTCTGAACATAGAATATCTCCCAAAAGCCCACTAAACATAGAATATCTTCGAAAGGTCTTCTAAACATGAAATATCTTCAAATACCTTCTGAATATAGAAGCCCTTTAAATGGGTTCAAAATATAGAAGAAGTTTCATGGATCTTCTAAACACAGAATACCTCCCAAAGGTCTCCTAAACATAGAATAGCTTCGGAATGTCTCCTTAACATAGAATACCTTTTAAAGCACTTCAAAACATAGAATACCTTTTATAGGACATCTAAACATAGAAGATCTTTCATAGAATTTCTAAACATAGAAAAACATAGAATACCTCTCAAAGGTCTTCGAAACATGAAAGATCACAAACATGAAAGATCACAAAATGTCCTCTAAACATAGAAGACCTTCCTAAGGACTTCAAAAGATAGACGATCTTTCATATGTTTTCTTAACATAGAATGCCATCCAAAGGACCTATAAACATAGAATAGCTTCGAAAGATCTTTTAAACATAGAAAACCGGCGTAGGGACTTAAAAACATAGAAGATCTTTCATATGACTTCTTAACATAGAATTCTTCCATAAAGTCTGCTAAACATAGAATAGTTGTAGAATAGGTTTTCTCAACATAAAAGTTCTACAAACTGCCTTCAAACCAAGGAAGACCTTCGTGAGGTCTTCAAAACAGACTTTTTCAGGTTCTCAAAAAAATAAGAGAATACCACCCAAAGGTCTTCTAAACATAGAATAGCTTTGAGGTCTTCCAAACATGAACAGCCTTCGAAATACCTTCAAAATGTGGTAGACCTTTTATAGGACTTTTGTATTTATAGAATACCTCCCAAAGGTCCTCCAAACATAGAATAGATCCCAAAGGTCTCTTAAACATAAAATAGCTCCGGAAGGTCTTCTAAACATAGAATATGTCCTAAGGTTTTCCTATGGAGAATTATTCCGTATAAAAAATTCTACTCAATTGCTGTGGAAATTATTTTTTTGTCTAGAAAAGTTTAGATGGCCTTGGAAGGTTCTTCTACGTTGGTTAATGAGGAGAGTTTTCCCTATAGAAAAAAAGCTCCTCAACAGCTGAGGAGAGTTCTTTTTCCGTATAGGACAAAAAGTCTCCTCAGCCACTGAGGAGGACAAAAAATCTCCTCAGCCACTGAGGAGAGTTCTTTTTCCGTATAGGACAAAAAGTTTCCTCAGCCACCGAGGAGTGTTCTTTTTCCGTATGCAAAATAGTCTCTTCAGGTGATAAGGATTTTTCTCTATTAAAAATAGTCTTTTAACTTTTTTGTAGAGGGTCCTATTTATTTATTTATTTTTATTCTCGTAAAAAAAGTCTCCACTTACCAATCTTTGCTATACTGGCCGACAATATCCAGACACCGATAATGAATGGTGTCTTCACGCGATCGAATTCGACCTGAGCCAAGGGATAACGTTCATGGCCCCCACTATGACCGCCATCATCATCACCGTGATCATTATCGCTACCATGGCCATTATCGTCGTCGGAGCGAGGAGCTGCTGCTGCGGCGGCATGTCCTCCCGTCGATGATGTGTCACCGATGCCTGATGCTGCGGCGGCCGGTTGTTGTTTTATTGCGTTGCCACTATCCGGTGGTAGAGCGGTATTCGATGCTGGCAGAGACTGGATCAAAAAAAAAAGGGAAATAGAAAAGAAAAGAAAAAACGATAAATTAATTTAATTAGTTCATTGTTGTTGTTATGCGTGTTAAAAGAGAGGGAGGTAGAGAAAAATTATTTATTGTGGCGATATTTTTTGGCGCTTTTTGAGGAGATGTGGGAAACTTAAGTAATTGTTATAAATGAAAAAGATTCTGATAAAAATATTAGGAAGATTAAAAGACAACAATATTTTGTAAAGTGATTTTTTTTTTCGAAATTTTCAAAGGTAGAAACAGGTCTTCAGGACTGTGTCCCATGCCGGATTCGAAATGTAAGTATTGTTAAATTTTATAGTCAAATAATGTAGATGCATTTTTGGCTTCGGATATAGACAAAGGGATCGACTTCGTCATCTACTCTGGAAGATTTAATTTCTTCTACCACAGACCATGACAAAGTCGGAGCCTAGGTCTATATCCGCAGTCAAAAAATGCATCTTCGTCAATTGTCTATAACTTTAAAAAAAATACTTTTCGAATAAAGCAAGGGACACAATCCTTAAGTCCTGTTCCCTGAAAATTCTACATCCATAACCAAAAAATCCATCTGTTTTTGTTGTCTATAATTTAAATAAGATTCACTTTTCGAATCCTTTTTGAGACACAGACTTCGATCTCGTTTTCGGCTACAATATTCCGGCCCCGAAGGCTGAGATGAGAGCCTGGCCTACATTTTCCTAACTTTGAAAAAAATTAAATATCTTCCGTGGTATGCCCACATTATGCCCTGTGTTGGAACCTATTTCAAAATTTAATATCCTCTTCTGCTCCTATTTCAAAATTTAATATCCTTCTTTCCGACCACCTAAAAATCATAAAATTTAAATTCACCCCAGCGTGCGACCAGATGGCTTTCAAATTTTTCTTTTATGGACACTTAAAATTCATAAGCAAATGAAAATAAGAAATATTTCAAATGCATGTCAGGACTTTAAGGGCAATATTATCTTATCATTACCATTTAAATAGCAAAACATATACACACAAAAAATGTAAACATGAATGTGTACACCAACACATATCCTGGCATATCCTTATTAAAAGCAATGAACATTAAGGCCAACAAAAAACGAATGTTAATTTTCTAAAGTGATGACAACTGTTCAAAAGACGTTTCATTTTCTTGATGGGAATTTATTTATGGATCGCTATTTTTAGAAGGCAACATAAAAAATTAAAAAATTGGAAGGATTTTAAGGATATTATGAAAATTGGTCCCCACAGGGACCAAGTTTTTTCTATAAAAAAAAAATTCGTTGGCCCCCACAGGGACCAAGATTTTTTTATAGAAAAAAAATTCGTCGACCGCCAGGACCAAGTTTTTTTTTAAATAGAAAAATATTCGCTGGTCCCCAAGGACCATTTTTTCTATAGAAAAAAATTCGCTGGTACCCAAGGACCATTTTTTTCTATAGAAAAAAATCGCTAGTACCCAAGGACCATTTTTTTCTATAGAAAAAATTTATATTTAGTACCCAGGGACCATTTTTTCTATAGAAAAAAATTCGCTAGTACCCAAGGACCATTTTTTTTATTTTCTTGTTGCACAAAATCCTCAGATCTTGAGGAATCCAGAAAAAAATCCCTCCCTACATTTTTTATCTTGTCATGGCATCCCTATAACAATTCCTACCTGTAGCCGACTGAGTGTCACACTTAACAAGTGCAAATTTAATTTGTTTGCGTGTCTCTTTTTTTTTTGTTGTTCTTACACACATCTGCGAACAATGTGAAACAATTTGACATTTGGGTGAATGGCATGAATGCCTATTTGTCTGTCGGCCTGCCTGTCTGTCCATTGCAACTACAATCTCCCTTCAAGCCTACAATGCGCTGGTCAAACCGACCGGCTGACCATTTGTGTTCGTCGTTGTGCACCATTCATTTCGCTTTCGTTTCAATTCAATCATTCACAGAATTCAATTGTTCGTAAAAATTGAGGCGCCTTCAAACAACGACATGACAAGCGAACGACCGACCAACCAACGACGACGACATCTTCTACAAAACTAGCAACAAATTACTTTGATTTTTTTGTTGTACTTTTTTTTTTTGAAAAATAATACAACACACCAAATAACAACACCAACAACAACCTCATGTCGATTTTGTAATTTTATCTACAACACAAAAATCCCCATGTTGTTGTCTGTTTGTTTAACAACAAGCATTTGTTTAAATCAAATAAAAATTATTATTGTAATTTGTCAAAAAAATAAATAGAGGGGAAAAAGTGAATGGTTTTTGGAGTTGGAATAGATTGGAATTTAAAAAAATTGGTAATTTTGAATTTTTATTTTACTTATTATTTTTCTAAAAAAAATCAGTATCACAAAAATCTATAAAAAAAATCTTAGTCCTGGAGGCTCCTGAAATTAAAAAAATTGTTGTGGCCCCCAATAGTTTCTATAAAAAATACAGTCCTGGGGGAATGCAGAATTGTTTTATTAAAAAAGTAAAAGTCCTGTAGGACTGCTGAATTTTATTTATTTTTTATTTTTGTCAATTGACAAAATTAAGTCCTGACGATTTTTTTGATTTTTTTCTATAACAGAAATTTGTCCTGGGGTATGGTAGAAATATTAGTCCTGTAGACTCCTTAAAAAAAATAGTCGTGGTGCCCAATAGTTTCTATAAAAAAACACAGTCCTGGGGGAATGCAAAATTTTTTCAATAAAAAGTTAGAGTCCTGTAGGACTGCTGAATAAGTCCTGGAGTCTGTGAAATTCTAAAATTTTATTTATTTATTTTTTTCAATTGACAAAACTAAGTCCTGAGGATTTTTTGCATTTTTTTCTATAGCAGAAATTTGTCCTAGGGTGTGGGGAAAATATTAGTCCTAGAGACTTCTAAAATTAAAAAAGTCGTGGCGCCCAATAGTTTCTATAAAAAATACAGTCGTGGGGGAATGCAGATTTTTTTATCAATAAAAAGTGAGAGTCCTGTAGGACTGCTGAATAAGTCCTGGAGTCTGTGAAATTCTAAAATTTTATTAATTTTTTTTTTTTTTTCAATTGACAAAATTAAGTCCTGAGGATTTTTTGATTTTTTTTTCTATAGCAGAAATTTGTCCTGTGGTGTGGTGGAAATATTAGTCCTGGAGGCTTCTGAAATTAAAAAAATAGTCGTGGCCCCCAATAGTTTCTATAAAGAATACAGTCCTGGGGGAATGCAGAATTTTTCATTAAAAAAGTTAGAGTCCTGTAGGACTTCTGAATAAGTCCTGGAGTCTGTGAAATTTTAAAATTTTATTTTTTTTTTTTTTCAATTGACAAAATTAAGTCCTGACGATTTTTTGGATTTTTTCTATAGCAGAAATTTGTCCTGGGGTGTGGGGGAAATATTAGTCCTGGAGGCTTATAAAATTAAAAAAAACAGTCGTGGCGCCCAATAGTTTCTATAAAAAATACAGCCCTGGGGGAATACAGAATTTTTTCAATAAAAAGTTAGAGTCCTGTAGGACTGGTGAATAAGTCCTGGAGTCTGTGAAATTCTAAAACTTTATTTTGTTTTTTCAACTGACAAAATTAAGTTCTGGCGATTTTTTGGATATTTTTCTTTGACAGAAATTTGTCCTGGGGTATTGTGAAATTTTTTTCTATAAAAAGGGATTAGTCCTGTTGGTTGGGAGGAAACTTTTTTTCAAGGAATTTAGCTTTGAGGTCCCGCCCCCTATGATTACATTCAAGGACTTCTTAAACTTTCGTAATTCAAAGAACTTCACCAATTTTTTTTTTTTTTTTTTTTTGGAAATATTGTTCCATGCAAAAATAGGAGATTTTTTAAGAAAAAAATTATTCAAGGAATCCTGTGAATCCTAAAATTTTATTTTATTTTTTTTTTTTTTTCAATTGACAAAATTAAGTTCTGGCGATTTTTTGGATATTTTTCTTTGACAGAAATTTGTCCTGAGTTATTGTGGAATTTTTTTCTATAGAAAGGGAGGGGTCCCGTTGGTTGGGGGAAACTTTTTTATCAAAGAAATTTAGCTTTAAGGACCCTCCATGATTACATTCAAGGACTTCATAAACCGTAATCCAAAGAACTTGACCAAAAATCTTTGTTTTCTTTGAAATAATTTGTTCTATGTAAAAATAGGAAATCTTTTAAGAAAAAATTTATTCAAGGAATCCTGTGGAACTCTGGATTTTTTTCTATAGAAGAACCCAGACCTGGAGGATGGCGGGATTTTTTTTTCTATAAAAAGGTGATAAGTCCTATTGGTTGAGGGAAAATGTAATTAAAGAAATTTGTTTTTGAGGACCCCTATTATCAAAAATATTGGATATAAAAAATATTTTGAACCGCCTCTTAACCAAAAAAAAACTAGGATTTTTTTTCAGAAAGAGTTATATTCAGACTTTTTTCTATAGAAGAACTATGTCCTGGGGGGATGGTGGGTTTTTTTCACAGAAAGGAGGTTTGTCCTGTTAGTTGCGAGAAATTTTTAATTAAATCAATTTGGCTTTGACGACCCCTATGATCAAAAGTATTCGATTTTAGAAAAGTCGATTATGGACCGCCTCTTAATCAAAAGTCTTGGATGTTTTAGGAAAAGTTACTTTCAAGGACTTCCTGGACTTGTGAATTTTTGTAAAATGTTTAATTCAAGGAACTTGACCAAAAATCTTTGCTTCCTTTGGAAAATTGATTTCATGGACCTATTGATCAAAAATAGTTGATTTTATGAAAAAAAATATTCAAGGAATCCCTTGGAACTCTTTATTTCTATAGGAGAAGAAGGATGGTAAAATTTTCTTTTGTTGGAAGGATATTAGTCCATTTGGTTGGGTTAATTGTTTTATTAAAGAAATTTGGCTTTGTTCAAAAATATTAGATTTGAGAACCGCCTCTTAAACAAAAATCTTGGATTTTTTAGGAGAAGATACTTCAAGAACTTTTTGGCTAAAAATTGTGAATTTTTGTAAAAAGTTTAATTTACGGTCCTTGACAAAAAAATCTT